CGTTGTACCACCCTAAAGTGTATGGTAGCCCTCAGATCTGCTGGCCCTCTCTGAGTTTCAGAGAATATCCTGGAGTGTACCGATATATTTCATCTCGGTGTTCCAACTCTCCATCTTACTTCAAACAGTTCAACAGTAAGAAAAAAATAGATTGGAGACCTTCAAAAAATAATTTAATATCACACACACAGAAACCAACCCTTTCGGAAGAAGAAAACCCTAGCTGGAGGGAAATCTCTCTCCTCTCCACGCCTCCCAACAGAGAGAAAAGTGAATCGATCACTCCGGGAGGCCTAGTAAATTTCAGAAACCAAACTGCCCTCTTCAGAAAATAAAAAGAAAACTAACAATACCTGGGACTCTTCCCCGTACTCTAGTTCTTGATTTTGAGAAAAGTGAATCGATCACTCCGGGAGGCCTAGTAAATTTCAGAAACCAAACCGCCCTCTTCAGAAAATAAAAAGAAAACTAACAATACCTGGGACTCTTCCCTGTACTCCAGTTCTTCTTGATTTTGATGCCAAACAGTAGATCACCTTCCTGATGTCTAGATACTACCTAAAATTCCAAGAACTAGGCAATCTATAGCAAATCGATCAGCCCTTTACTACTTCATGCAGTCGTCTGATCTTGGGCTGCATGAGAATGCTTCAAGAAACCCTAGCCGATGCTCTGATACCGAGTAGGAATTTGCTGAATAAAAAAAAAATATGAAAGAAAGTAGTGTCTTGAAGAGAGGAGAAGAAGAGAAGAGGTGAAGTTGAAAAGAAAAGAGAGCAATAATCTGGTCGCCCCCCTTCACTTATTATTTATACTAAAATAATAGAATAGTACAAAGACAACTATGCCCTTATAGGGTGACAAAACATAAAACAGCATATATAACACTCAAAAAATAATAAAATTTGAACTCACATAACTACTGTGGTCCGCACCTCCTATCTAACAACTAACATAAAACATCTACTCAGAAAACATCATAAAACTAATTAATCTTCAACAAAGGAGACTCATGGCTAGTGCTAAATTGATTAAGGAGGGGTAATGGTTTCTGGATCTATGTTAATGAGAGGAGGGAGGTTAAGTGGTTATTGAGGGGAGTGGAATTTCAGGTTCATTGGGTGAAGAGAACTGCAAATGCCTTTGTTGATAACTTGGCAAAACAGGGGGTTGGTAGGGGTCAATTATTTTAGGCAGTATTATAATTTCTTTTTAGTTCTTTGGGGGAGAGTTAAGCCATTTTATCTCTCCCTAGAATTTAGTTTGTAATCTTGTTTTCTGTTATTGATAAAAAAACTATCATTATTTTCCTCATTAGCATCTTTTATGTTTTTTTTTTTGTCATTTTCTTTTTCAATAAATCCTTTGGAAGCAAAGTTCAGATCTGATGCACCTTCTGTACTGCTTTTATATATGCCAATAGATAGAGTGGGGACATTATGAAGAGTGGTCTCCACCAGCACTGCATTTCAATGTTTCTCATACATCTTCATTGATTGCCTGTGGTGTGACAGTGGATAAGCTGGTACAGTTCTGGTCCATATCATTTGTGGTGCAAATTCTAAATTAGATTTCCTTGTGAAATAATTTGATTGAATCATTCCTTTTCATGTGAAACCATACAATGCTTTAATTTCAGGTTGGTGTTGATGTGGAGGAAAAACAACGGAAAATAAAGAATGATATATTATCTTTTGCTCGACGTTATTTCTCTTTGCATGAAGTTGAACACTTGCATGCTATTTTAGACCCAGAGATTCAAAGACAAGAGTTTATTAAGTTATGGACACTAAAGGTGAGTTCAGTCTCTTTTTCCAGTTAGTAAAGTTTGTAGTGATTATATTTTTTAAGATTGCTTAATCCACCGGCTATGTGATGGAAAATACCATAAAACCATTTCAATCATAAGCAGTGATTTCTGAATCTGGAAGCTTCAGAGATTGTTTGCAGTTTTGATCTAGTAAAAAGATAGGGAGTGTTTTGATGACTTGATTGCTTAAAATCAATCAATCAATGAAAAACAGCAAAAAAAAAAAAAAAAGAAACTATATGAACGAAGAGAAGATTTAGAAAAAAAAAAGAATGGAGAAGTAGCAAAAAGTTCTAGCTGCTGGCCCTTTATCTATATAATATGGATTACAATGGCCACTATGCCCCTTGGGCATCCAATCTCAAAAAGAATAACGAACATGGTAGTAATAAAGTAAAAAAACAACTGTAATGGCAGTCAACAAACAGAATAAAATTTTGAGCAAAAGGTAAAGTATTACATTGAATTCTTCAAATGATGTATTGATATACAAGTATAAGAGTAGAAAATTTATTAAAACAGTAAATAAGGCAAAAACAACAAAGGAAAGGAAAGATGAGAAGTTATGGCACAAGGTTGTGGCGAGTATTCATGGCATATCAAGCAATGGATGGGATGTTGGATATCTTCGTAGAGCTACCTTGGCTGCCTCATGGAAGGCCATCCATGATTTTCTTCCTACCTTCTTACATCATCAGGTATGACTTGGCCTCTGTTCAAAAACTCAGGTTTTGGGAGGATGTGTGGATTGGGGATACCACTTTGGGTATTAAATTCTATTCTCTTTTTGATATTTCCAGGTTTAAGGGTAGGCCCATTTCTGACTTCCTTACCCAGCACCATTTCTCTGCAGGATTGAATTGGAATTTTGGCTTCATTAGGAACCTTAGAGAATCTGAACTTTCTATGATGACTGATCTTTGGAGCTTGCTGAATTCAGTTTTCTTGTGTGAAGGTGGCTCGGATTCTAGAGTATGGGGTCTTAATTCTGATGGGGAGTTCTCTTGCAAGTCCTTTTTTCATTCTCTGGTTGCAGCTTCTTCCTCTTCTTTCCCAGTCATGGAAATTTGGTGTTTTCCCATTCCCCCTAAAATTAGTGCTTTCTGTTGGGAAGTGTTTCATGGAAACATTAATACCTTTGATCTACTTCAAAGGAAGAGACCAAATTGGTGTTTGTCTCCCAATTGGTGTGTTCTTTGCAAGTTGAATGGTGGGACTGTGATTCATCTTCTTATCTCTTGCCTGTTTACTAGCTTTCTTTGGGATTGGTTTACTTCTCTCTTTGGATGCAGTTGGTCTTCTCCTGATAGGTTGGAGGGTTTGTTTAGCCCTACTAGCATTAGCTGTACAAAAAAGAGGGGTAGGACTGTGGGAGGAAAGAAATGCAAGAATATTTGAAGAGAAAGAACGAAGCAAGGAAGCCTTGGTTGAAACTGTAACATTGAGAGTCATATTGGGCAAAAAGTTTGAAGCTATTTTTGGATTTCAAGATTGAAGATTTCTTCAGAGCTTGGGGTATCATTGCTGCATCCTCAACTACAAGACAAAGATCTGTTGAGGTTTGGTCTCCCCCAATAAATGGTTGGAAGAATCTGAGTTTTGATGGGAGCTGTTTGGGTAACCCAGGCCCCTCAGGTATGGGTGAGCCATTAGGGATGAAGAGGGTAACATAATTGCTTTATACTCTGGCCCTGTGGAGCAGGGTGATGTGGCAAGATCAGAGTTTTTGGCTGCAGTTTTTGGGGTTGAGAAGGCAAAAGAACTGGGTATTAATAGGCTGATTATTGAGGGAAATTCTAAAACTGTGGTTAAGTGGCTGGTTAAAAGGGAGGGGGTGGCATGGCATTTGAGGAATGAATTCAGAAAATTCAAATGGCTGTCATAGTACATGTTAATCTGAGTGAAATGGGTGAGGAGGACTACTAATAGCTTAGCCAAGCAAGGGGTACATAGAACACATGTTTTGGGCTCAAATGTAGTACTGATTTGGAAAAGCTTCTATAGCTAGTTCTTTTCAGAACTTCTTGTTGTAATAATGTTTTCTCATAATTAATGAAATCTTTTCTGTGTTGCTGATAAAAAAAAAGAAGGTAAGACAGGTTAACTTTGATCAAGTTCACTTTGGCTAATGCTGCTAATCTACCTGTGTATTACTCATCTATGTTCAATATGCCTAAAGCAGTTGTGAAAGGAATGGAGAAATTGATGAGACTTCCTTTGGGAACCTAGAGGAGGGAAACCGAAAAAAGGATGGAGGTTTGGGAGAATAACTAGCCTCTGAACTATCTGGCTTTGCAATACTCCCCATGAGATAGCCAAGCTTTCCATATCCACCAATGTCAATGCACATAGATGATGCCAATTCCAAATAATCAGTGCCATCAAATCAAAAAATCATTACAAATCCATTCTAGGTATCTCCATGCTACCCAGCTCTAGTCCAGTACTCCAGTCTCCACACCCTGCTTCACCTCACTTCTAGAAAGGTCCACAAATTTCAAACAACTTCAGACAATGTCAATGCACATATTCAAGAAGATTCAATCTGAGTAAGACCTCCTTAAGGTGACTAGTTATAAGATTAGTTCCTAGGCATCTGCAACAAAGGACTTATTTGTTGCCTTTAAGAATTATGTGCTCTGTTGAGCGGTGGAATGGTTGATTTAGTTCTTGTCCTGTTGGAGGCGCTAGCTGCCTGTGCCTTACCTGGGGCCTGAAAGGAATAATGGAATATCAAGAATAGGTTCAATCTGAGTAAGACCTCCTTAAGGTGACTAGTTATAAGATTAGTTCCTAGGCATCTGCAACAAAGGACTTGTTGCCTTTAAGAACTATGTGCTCTGTTGAGCGGTGGAATGGTTGATTTAGTTCTTGTCCTGTTGGAGGCGCGAGCTGCTTGTGCCTTAACTGGGGCCTGTTGTAATCTGTTTCTTTATATTTAATAAAATTACTTCACCTTAAAAAGAAAAGCAAAAAGGATAAACTTGGGACACTCAATCCAGATGCCTCCATATCTTACAAAAACAAATTGCCCTTGCCAGAGATATGTAAAGAATCAGGTTATGTCCAAGAGCCACATAACAGGTCCCAGAAATCTTCCAAAAAGTAGTCAATCAAGTTGGTATCGATTAGCCACTTCAAATCCTCGTACAATCTGCTGATCCTAGTATTGCATGACTTTCATCATGAGAGCACCGAATATGACTTCACTACTAACTTGTCTTATTTAATCAAGAGGATAATATAAAACAGATTAGCCAAACATGTGTAATGGGGTCTGGTAGGGTAAGGCTGCCTGAACCTCTGAAAGTGGTGGTTGACTGTGCAACTACCTAGTGAGCTGGTTTCCCCTCTATGCTATGAAGACTGGATTGACTGGGGTTGCCCCAATGTTGGAGCTGGTAGTGGAACCTCAAAGGAGGGAAGAAGGGGGGGGGGTGATTAGTGACTGAAGGCCAAGGCTGGGAGGTTCTGCTATTTGTGAAGCTGAATGAAGTGTCTTCTACCTGTTTTGGGGATCTGTTCCCCTTTTATAGCCATTTTGTGGCTACTAAGCCTGAGCTCTTATGAAACTCCGATTTTCTTGTTTCCTTGTTTCTTTTGTCTTTTCCTTTAAATGTCTTTTAGTCTCTTTTTCATTAAATGCATGGTGTGTACATTTCTATGAAAATCATATTCTTTTGTCAAGGCAAATTTTCTCATTAGACGATGGCGTGCTAATCAGTATTAGTTGACACGTCTGGGGGATGCAGTACTTACGTGCCCTGACAGGGGAGGGGATGCGAACTTGATTCACTTTGGTGCATGAGATTTGGTTCTTCGCACCTAGGTCTGCTCTAACTGGCTCGAGTTATCCAGTTTGCACAGTAGTTGACACTTGTGGGTGGTGTTATGTATGACAATGCTCTTACACCATGTAGTTGGGATAAGGCTTGGTGATGATTGTGAGGATAATATAGAACAGATATGAAATATGAAGATTTAAACAAGTAGAACCAGTAGAAGAGAGGTAGAGAGAGAAGAGAAATGAATGAGAAGGTGAAACTTCCTTGGGTGCATGTATTATTGCTTATATGGATGTGTAACAAGGTATGGTGAAAGGACTAGAATACTCCTAAGTAGGTGGAAACAAAATGGTGCAGTAAGAAGAAAACAAATAAAGCCTGCTAAGGGCCCAATTACTCAATTGGCCCACTTCTCAATAATTTAGATTCTAGAATTCTTTTAGGAACTCTGATATGAAGTAGAAGCCAAAGAACATTTTCATATGGTTGAATGACATGATTTCAATCAGTAAGATTGCTAATATGTATATTTCCCCAAAGAGGTGCCAATTTTCTAATTTCTACTTTCAAGACTACTTTACAAAGTTGTGTTTCACTGCCAGGAGGCTTATGTAAAAGCACTGGGGAGGGGCTTCTCGGCTGCACCTTTCAAGACATTTACCATCCGCTTCAGGGCTACTAGGAGTGATGGCTTGCAAGTTCCTACAGATCTAATTTCTGAGGTAGGCCGATCTCTCCTTGTAAAAGAGAATACATGACAACATTCTACAATATTAGGTTGATCAATGGCTTGGTTCCTTATTTGGATCTGATTTGATTTTCTAGTACATATTTAAAATGGGAAATCTGTTATATAATTGGAAAAACCTGGATCCACTCTGATCTTAAAATAAAAGGCCCAATCATCCAACAATATTTCTTTTTGCACGGGTTAGCTTTATCTTTATAAATTGGTGCTTTAATTTGTCAGTCTCTATATTCCTACCATCTCTATTATAATTTCAGGCATCTGAAATACTTGTAGAAGCATTTGATGATCCCAAGAGCCTTTCAAACAATTGGCAATTTGGACTCTTGGAACTGGCCAATTCCCATTATGCTGCCATTTGCATGGAAAAAGAAAACATTCTTGAAGGTGGGATCCTCATTTTTGTCTATCAAATGTGTTCAAAATGCATAGATTTTCAAGTTATATTTTGATTACTGCAGGAAAAGGGAATGACTTTATGAAATTGAAAGTGTGGAAGACTCTTCCATTTGTCGAGGATGAATATGTTTCTGGAACTAATGCAGTGAAAATAATCTGTGGGTTGTCCCAGTGCTTGCATCTTTAGGCACTTGGCTATGTTATCTCTTCTAACCGGAAATCCAAAGATTGGATCCCATTTTATTATTTCTGTAGGAAATATTTCAAAAGGTGTTTTTCTCAGTAGGTTGTCAAGATCATAAATATTGAGTACTATCACCAGAGACCTTGTAAAATCTGCACATTACAGGCTTATTAGCAAGGTTCAAAGTCTCAGAAGTGCAATTTTAAGAGACATATGCTTTGGATATGCATAGATACACTAAGAAAGTTCAAATAAATCCAAAATGAATTTGGATATATTTACCTGACCAAGTGAAATAGGCCTAAGTGTTGTTTCAAGGCCTAAGAGTGGATTGATTCATGAATGTGTAATATAAATTAAAATTTTTATATACAATATTTAATATAAATTAAAATGAAATATTTTTGTATATATAATTTGTAATATATGTATATATATATCATATATGTTTTATTATATATAATATATAATATGATATTTTATAATTAAACATATTATGTTATATATAAATCAAACTGTTTTGGCCACTTATTCATAGGTCCAATGGTCTGACCATCTGGTCCAAACCCTAGTCGGATGGTTTTGGGGTTCAAAACTAGACACCAAAACCATTTAACCATCTGGTTTGGTCCAGTTCTTGAGTTAACTGGTCTGATCGTCTAGTTTGGTCTGGTTTTCAAAACCATGACACACACACTCACATACACACACACACACACACTTAAGTGGGCATGTACTTCGTACGTGGCAGTCTTTTTATGATGAGGATGATTAGGGGTGCAACTTGGGTGGTTGGGCGGGCTTCAAATAATTTATGTAAATATTTTTATGTATTCATCTTTTAATGGCTTTTTGACCCAATTTAAGAGTAAAATCATTTGAAAATATGTACAAATTTCATTTACAAATATACATTTACATACTTTATACATATGCATATGTTCATATAATTAGAAAAAAGGGTAAAATATAAAAAAGCTCCCCTAGGTTTTCTAACAATCATATAAACCTCGCCTATGTTTTGATTGGGACAAAAGCCTCCCTTATAGTTTTGAAAAAGTCTACAACTACCTCCCTTCCATTATCTTTCTAAACAAGAAATACTAATATTATGCATTTATTTTTAAAATACCACTTCTACCCTTAATATTAATATTATTGGTTTAGGAAGAGATACGAATACTCTCTCTCTCTCTCTCTCTCATAACTCGTATTCTTCCTGACATCTCTCCATTGGTGAGAGAAACACTAAGTTATAGAACCCAAATAATATGGAGGGTAAAACAGGTATTTCAAAAAATATATTTATTAATTTAGCATTTTCTGTCTAGGAAGATAATTGAAGGGAGGTAATTGCACGTTTTTTTAAAACTATAGGGAAGGTTTTTGTTTTAATCAAAACATGTGGAGGTTTTTATGATTTTCAAAAAAACTCAAGTGAGATTTTTATATTTTACCCTAGAAAAAAGATATTTTAGAAATATAATATGCATATGTATGCATTTTCTCAGGTGGGATCGGGTTGGGTCAGGCTTGAGTAATTTAGCCTAGGCCCAACCCAATAAACCCATAGCTTGAAAATTCAGGCCTAACCCATGCAAAAGCTCAAGTTGGGTCGAGTAGGGCTTGGGTTAAACCTGTCCAAGTTTCATCCCTAATGATGATAGTAAATAACGTGTTTTAAAAAATTGATATATATATATATATATATTTCTATGCCTATAACAATTATTCTTATTTGTCACACTTTTTGTTTAATATGATGAGTATATGATATTAGTTAAGGGCCCAGATGTTTTCTACATTTTTTTTTTGTATTTTTATCTTTTTTAATCATTATTATCTAACTATGACATCAATGGTTAACACATTTTGTTGACTCACCACCAAATAGGAAAACAACTCAATTTTGGGTTGGTTTTAAATTTGTATTTTATTTGTATCATCAATAAAAATAATTGTTCTTTGTCACACTTATTTTTCTTTAATATGATTAATTAATATAGGATTCAATAAAAGAATGAGTTAATACCTAAATATAAGACTTAATAAGAGGGAATTGAATGAATAAAAATGTAGTAGTTAAAATTACATTTTGTGACCTCACAATTAGAGAGAGACCAAATTAAAAAGTGATATTTTAGTCAAAAATAGAATTCAATAAATGTTATTAGAGTTAATGCCTTAAATATAAGAATGAGAGGGATTTGAATGAGTAGAAAAATTGTAAAAATTACATTTATGCCCTTACAATTAGAGGCAAAAACTTGTGGTATTTTAGTCAAACAAAATTATCACTCTCATTCACACTTTTAATAGTAATTAATAAGTGTGCTTGTGCTTTGCATGTGACAATTTTTTATAATGATGATATTAGATAATATGTTTCTAAAGTTTATGTAAATTTTGTATATTTTTATGTCTATAAAAATTATTCTTATTTGTCACACTTATTTTTGTTAATATGATAGATATACAATATTAGGGATGTGTCAAAATATATATTTTTTACAATTTTTGTATATTTACTTTTGTGTATTATTATTATTATTATTATTATTATTATTTTTATTATTATTATTTAAAAAAGTTTGAATTGTTGACTCACCACCAAAATAAAACTACATTTTTGGGTTGGTTTGAAATTTGTATTTTATTTCTATCATCAATGAAAAAATTATTCTTTATCACACTTATCTAATATGGTTAATTAATATAAGATGCAATGAAATGATGAGATTTGATACCCTGAATATAAGACTTAATAAGAGGGAATTGAATGATGAGAAATGTAGTAATTCAAATTACATTTTGTGACGTCAAAATCAGAGAGGGACCAAATCCATAAATAGGGCTATTTTTGTCAAAATAAGATTCAATGAATGTTAATGGGAATTAATATCTTAAATATAAGGCTTAATGCAAGGGACTTGATTGAAGAGAAAAGTGGTTATTTAAACTATATTTCTATCCATATAAGTAGAGAGGGACCAAATTAAACGTTGGGGTATTTTACTCAAACAAAAGTATATATATCTATATATACAAGAATATTTTTGAATTTTTTTGAGGACTAAATTTACCTCTCGTTATTTAAATTTATTGATAAAAGATAAGGGCAAATATGGTAATCAGTTATTGATATTAAATGAATTGAAAAGAGGTAACTTTTAGATATTCAATGCATTCAATTCCCTTTCATTAAATCCAACATTTAATGTATTTTTAAGACATTTTTTATTTATTTTTGTCATTAAATTCTATTAATTAAATTCATACATAATAAATTAATAATTTCAATAACATACAAACTTGTGCTTTTAAAATTTAGTGTTTTCATCTAGGTGGTGGAAATAAATTAAACCCTTTTGGATCAAATGGTTAATCCATGTTGCCATAATTAAATAATAAAATAAAAAAATATAGAAATTAAAAAAGATGGGAGCATTTTTAACATCATATATTTGACACATGAAACAACAATAAATATGATAAATAAGAAATGTTTTTATTAATGATGGAAATGGAGTGTAAAATTTAAAACCAATTGGAAATAAAACTATTTTCCTATTCTCTCATTAAATCCTATATTTTTTTATTATTAAATTCTATTGACTAAATCCACAAATTTAATTTTAATAGTATAAAAATATATATTTTGAAAAGTAAGTTGAAAATAAAACAATTTTCTTCCCTCTCGGTGGTGGGTAAGCAATTTAACCATTTTAGGTCAAATAGGTTAATAAATAATGTCATAAATAAATAATAAAAAAATAAATAAAATATATAATAAAAAAAGAAATAGACATATCTCTAATATTGTATATTCATTATACTAAAAATAAATATAGAATTTAAGAACTATTTTTATTAATGATGAAAATGGAATGCAAATTTAAAATCAACTTAGAAATAAAATGATGCCATAGTCAAATAATAAAATTTTAAAAATAGAAAATGCAAAGAATCACAAAAATAAAAAAAATAGAAAAAATTTTGGGCACATATCTAATGTTATATATTTATAAAAAATAAAATATTGGGTATATGTCTAATATTATACATTCATTATATTGAACAAATATAAGTATTATACATAAGAAGTATTATATTTTGGGATTCTTCCAACAATTTCCTATGTGCTTTCTCCAAATTTTATGGGCAAGTGAACAACATGAAGGCTGAAATGCAAGCTCTTAGAGATGGTCTACAACTAGCTTGTTCCATGGAAATAACCAACCTACTTATTTACTCAAATAATCTCTCCTTGGTTAACATGGTTTAGGGTTCTTCACATTCGTGGTCATTTTGGTATGAGTTGTAGATAATCCCAGTCTTGTTACAAGAAGTAAACTTCACCATTTCCCATTGCTACCGAAAAACAAACTTAGTGGTCGACATGCTGGGGTGTGGTGCAACTCGTGACATGGTGTACTTCTCTCATCATAGTCTATCCCCGAGGGCTCGGGCAGCATTCCACAATGATCGTCTAGGGTTCTCTTATCTCTGGAGTATATAGTTCTTTTGTGTTCCTTGGATAGATTTATGAGTGTATAGAACACCTTGTATAGATTTTTAGAAGGATAAGATTTTTATATTCCCCTCCCCCATAGGAGTTCTTTTGTGCATATTAATAAAATTAAACAGTGGCCACCCCTCCACCAAGGATATTTAGGGCTAAAAAAAATTTAATGTTAACCTAAAAATCAAACTATTTTCCTTTTTGGGTGGTAGGTTAGTCGTTTGGGTCAAATGGATTAATTGATGATATGAAAGTTAAATAATAAATCTTGAAAAAATAAAAAAAGTATTAGTAATCAAAAGAATATATAAAAATTATATATTGATTATGTCAAACAAAAATTAAGTGTATTACGTAAAAATTATTTATGTAATGTAGCTGAAATATATAATTTAAAACTAATCCAAAAACAAAACTATTTTCTTTTTTGGATGGTGGGTCAATGATCCAACTTTTCAAAGAAACTCATGATGTCATAATTGAATATATAAACATTTAAAAAGATAGAACACAAAAATGAAAAAAATATAGAATTTTGTTAAAATAAAAGTTATTTTTATTTGTGACAGGAATGAAATACAAATAATAATAATAATAATTGTTATCATAATTTATATATATATTGTTGTTGTTGATGTTATTAAATATATAATATATATTGTGGGCCAGGCTTGAGGAGTTGGGCCTAATCTTGGCTCAAAATTTTGTGGGCTGGGCTGGACTGGGCCAAGAATGGGCCAAGAATGATCACCCGTACTCTCTGCTAATTTTCCATACTAATTAACTACCCTACTCTTTACATGGTTAGGAAAGTAAAAAATGATAAAATTGGCCATATTCCCTTCTATATGCGTTTTTGAAGGAAAATCAAGAGAGGGATGACTGTAGGAAAGAGGAGGGATGGCAATAGGAATGGTAACAGAGGAGAGTGTTAAGACTAAAGATGGAATATTAAAAGGTAGGAGCAATGTTTTCAACCCTTAGTCCAATGCTGGTTGGATTGGTAGACCAGTTACCTAGAAAATTTATCAAATCCATTTCACCCTTCTTAATCAGTGACTACTCTCCCCCACAACTTTTAGATTCCAACAGTTTGCCCCTCTGTTAACATTCCATCAATTAATTTAAAAAAAAACATTTTCATGTGGCTGTGTATTAAACATTTCTAAATCTCCAAACTACCCTTCTCTTCATTTGTGGGACCATTTTGCCATTTCTCTTATATATTTGTATAAACCTTATGTTTCTTCTTTCTCACTCAAAGTGGGTGAGAAACTGAGGGAAAGATAATATGCTTTGGTCCTGTCCATGTCATCCTCTTGTCCATATGAATTTCGAAAGGTAGAGAAAGTTTTGGTGGCTGAAAATTTGATGCACCATCTGGATGGTTGAGATTAATTTGCTAATCATAGGAGACTACATTGGTGGTTGAGATTTGAGAGACAAAGAAGGAAAGTTGGATATCTACACTATTATAAAGCGGATACTTGTCTGTCAAAAAAATTAATTTGATTATATAATGTCAACTTATTGCTTTATCCTTGCACATGTGCATAGTATGTGTTCATACACTAGTGAGTAGTGACTAAACCGATGTAGAAATCAATGCATAGTCTTTGGTGCCCATTTGGGAGGGCTTTCACATAGTGGTGTATGGCACTACATGAGCTGAGAAACCTGGGATACAATAAAGCTGTTTTTGACAAAAATCTAGAAAGCTTAAAGTAGGCTTAGATGAGCCACAAAATCGACTCTGGTGAGCTCTCTCAAGTAGCTTCTCTGAAGCAGTTCACTCAATGTACTCAATCAGTACAGAAGCCACCCAAATGGGCGGGCTCTTGGTGTAGAGAGAACCAGAGGTAGTGATGCCTGATTTTGGTTAGTTGAAGTGGTCATATTTTCACTTTGATGTCCTAGGTATATATTTCTCACAATTATAGCTCATATCTCTAGAAGAGAGGTTTTTACAAGCTGAAGAATGTTTCATTACAAAACAATCTTGAAAGATCAGGATCCCCATGGGAAGGCCAGAGATTATTGATGTTAAAAGCCATAGTAGAGCAGTAAGGAGCAAGGTTTTAAAAACCAACTTGGAAACAGAACTGCTGTGGCCATGGCCACTGGTTCCCAGGTCAGCGGTTCGACTGTCTGGGGGTTGAACAGTTCAGGTGGTTTGATTAGATTGGAATATCAAGGCAAATATTCATTACTCTTTTAGTCTTTTATGAGAAAAGAGATCGAGACATATGTGGTTGGTTGAGAAAGAAAGAAGAAAGAAAGAAAGAAAGAAATAAATAAAGAAAGAAATAAAGAAAAGAAATAAAGGAGAGAGAAAAAAAGAAAATGAAGGAGAAAAAGAAATGAAATGAAGGAAAGAGGGAGAGAAGGAAGGAAGGAGGAGGATCCAATGTTCACTGGTGATGACAACAGCGATGATAGCAGCAACAGAAAAGCAGTGGCAACCATTCGTATCTGTCTCTGATCTCAGATCTGAGATTTGATCTCTCCGCTCCAATCTTGCTTTCCTATAATTTTTCTCAATCTCTCTCTCTCTCTCTCTCTCTTTGGAATCTCAGTGATCCCAGATCTGAGATCATTCTTGTCTCAGTCCCTCCCCATCTCTCAATCTCCTCTGCTTCCTTATTAAACCAGAACCACTATTTGAGTCGAACAGGTTGATGGTTCAACCATCTGGGTCAACAACGATTCAAAATGACATCTATGAGAATATTCCGAATTTGTTTGTAAACCTGATTAAGCATTGGCAAGTGCTGACTAGTGCAAGTCTTTTCTCTAAAGCGGTGCTCACTTATCTTTAGACGATTCAGCCTGATTATTTATGGTGCCTTGCTTATTGATAGTCATATAGATTATGATGTTATAGGCTTATAGCTAAAAACTTGTTCAAATTTGAAACCATGTGGCTCCGGCACCATGATTATAATAAGGGGGTAGTTGAATTGGCTTGGCATAGGGCGGAAGAGAAGATGGTTCAAACTAGAACTAAATATAAAAAAAAAAACATAAGAATAAGGCAACCCTTTGAATGGGTCAGATGGGTCAATGGTTCTACCGGGTAGACAGTTACAGTTAATTGACCATGTTAACAGTTTTTTGTAATATAATAAATAGTCCGGCGAATGAGGGCTTGGATCTGCTACCCACGAGCTCTTTACACATCCGGATTATAACTGTGTATTGAGAATATCTTGTCATTCATGGGGAGATATTCCCGATACATAGAAGTGGCGTTCAATGGGTAGGGATGTGGGAACAATTTGTGGTTAGCAGATCCAGAGAAGGATTAGTTGAACACAATAGTTCAGTGGGCTGTGGAACCAATGATATCTTTCCACGCCAGACCCACAACCATTTAATTTCTCACTGTGGGCCCCATATACTTTCCCAGCCCACCGAACAGCTACAGCGTTCAGCTAATCCAAATTCAATCCGAAGTGGGTGAATGACAGTTGAAAACACTGTTCTGGAAACCATAAAAAATCAAGAAAATATGAGACTTATGTGCCAACCCTCATTTTTTATCATTTGGCGGATGAATAAAGGCAAGGAAGTCAAATAAAAAAAGTTGCATTAAATTAAGCAACAGAAGCCCAAACTGAAAGCACCAAGATACATCACTGCTGTTGTTACTGCTATACAACTTTACAATAATATAGTGTAGAAGGTGCAATTTAGTACAAGTAATGGCATATCCCTTTAAGACTGCAGATTGCACCTCTGACCACAATCTTGCAATAATACAAATCTCACTAGTATGGAATTCTCACTTGTAATGTTACCAGTAAACTCAGCCCCAAATCTTCTTAGAAGTACACTTTTCCCCAAGAGGCATCTACCTTGTCTCTCAAAAAAAAAAAAAAAAAAGTAAACTCCACAACCCCAATGATCAGACCATCTCAATGAGACCCAAATTACAATTGGTTCCATCTTATCAGTGTGTGGCTGATACTCAGCAGACATGCACCCCATACTTCCCAGAACCAAACACCTAACATAGCACATCTTGAAATAAAACTGGGCTAAAAGGAACCGCATTAATGAAAATAAATTGGGAACATTTTGATGTTTGAGTTTTCATGAACCAGGACCCCATATGACTAAAACATATTTCAGATGTGCATGTGAAAGGTGAGAATCTCTGCAAAGACTGCCCACTAACAAAACATGAAACCAAGAATGGTAGTTTAAAGACTCATCCCTTCCTGTTGCTTCATTATTTACTCAGGCAGATTCATATGATACATAACTCTTAATTTGCTCACAACCATGCTGATCAGGGAATACTTTAGAAGGTCACATACTGTATGCTCTTGTTCCAGAAAAAAAGATCCCTTCTATTGACTCACTGGAGTAACTCTCAATTTCAGATAAGTGCTCACCAAGCTAAATGCAGTAAGTGATTTAGCAGGTCACACTGACCTGTCTTGCCTCCTGTTCCAATGGAAGATGGCAAACAAAGCCTTTTCTTAAGCTTTCTCAGAACTTAGAAAATAAATGGCTCAAGGTGCAAAATGGATTATCCCATCACCAAATATGTTTGAATAATAGTCATTATAATTAAGATACCCCCAGAAACGACAAAGACCAAAGTCCCCATGTTTTGGGGACTTTAAATAACAGAGATATAAATCTTTAAGATTTTTCTCAAACGTTGCCTTGATTGCCAGCACCTGCAATGTCAGACACTTTCAGTTATCTAAAACAGTTAAAGTGATATGAAATCAGAAAGGGATATGATTAACAGAAAGGGACAATGTACACACAAACAAGTAAAAACCTGCAAGCACTTAAGCCATGTTAATAATGGAAGATGCACATCAACAAACTTAAATTTTGCAGAGTTCTAGTTTATTTGGTTTTAACTAAAAGAAACAAAAGAAAGAAAATCCTTGTATAATAATTGATAAAAGTTTTCTAGATGGGTCCCTATATCCCATTACTTCCTGGTTTAGAAACCCCATAATTTGTTGGATCTTTTCTCCAAGTAACATTATGTTTTTCAAAATTTTGAGGGGACAAATTGCCCCAGAGAAGAAGAATGTGGATCCACAATTGAAACTTGACAAATGAGAAATTGGCATGACTGTGGGAGTACTTTCTGTAACCCCCTAAGCTGCCATTTGTAAATTCCTAGGTTGTTTAGATCCCTTTGCTGCATAGCAACGGGTGCAGGGTTAGGTCTGGTTAAGGTCAACCCTAGCCCAATCCTAGACATTGAACCCCCAACCCTAAGCTTAATTCAACTGGCCTCCAAGCAGATATAATCAATCCTACCCAATGCCTTGGTCCAGTTTCTAAAAACGTTACTGTGTTTCTAAAGCACTATACTTATGTCACACCAATATATCCTAGCCTTCAAACTTTTTTTTTGGTGCATTACACACACACACACACGTCAGTTTGGAGTTGCCTGAGGCCTCAACCCTAACCTAACTCCACTTTTTATTTTGGGTTGGGTGGGTGAACCCAGCCCAAGTTGCCCCCCTTTGCACACCCATCCATATCTTTGTGTCCCCAAGTTTTTCATAATCTATAATATAACCTAGCATTTTATGTAATATAATCTAAAGAAATGTCAGTTTTCCATGTCCTAATGCCACCTAAATAACCAAATCTGTCTGTATTATATATAGGAAAGATGGAGGCCAGGAGTCCTCTAACCTCAGTGTTCACAATGACCTCCTCTCCTTTCTCACACAACACAACTTGGGAATTTGGGATGGGCTTGGGTGGGTTTGGTTGAGTCTGTGCAGGATGTTCAGGTTTAAAAGTCTTTTTTCTCAAATTTTGCACTTTTACTTTTCATTTTGATTGTATGGTGATAAAATTCATATCTATACCAGTTTCAAGTATAGAATAACAGAAGAAAAAGAGAGAAGAGAGAAAGGAGGAGAGAAGAGAAAAAAAGGCTGGTTCGAACTTAGAGAAAACTCTCTAGTTGGATAGATTTTATTTATAAGTTTCTAATTAAAAGCACAAAGATAGTTGTGCCCCTATTTAAGTTTGGGACACAACACTTAAATTAGACTAAAACAGAAATTACACAACACTCTTAACATAAAGATAAATGACCAAACTACCCCTCTACAGCCGACTCTAACACTCCCTCTCAAGTGGGTAAGTATATGTCATATAGTCCCAGCTTGTTACATATGTAATGCACTCTTTTCCGACTCAACCCTTTGGTGAACAAGTCTGTCCAGTGACTTCTTTTCTTTACATATGCAGTACATATCACTCCACCGAACACCTTCTCTCTCACAAAGTGACAATCAACTTCTATATGTTTTGTTCTCTCATGGAAAAACTGTATTGGAAGAAATGTGGGCTGCAGCTTGGTTGTCACATTATAGCTTCATAGGGGTATCAAATTTTTTTTTTTGATGAATTTCATAGGGGTATCAATTGAGTACCCCTTCTCTTGTAAGAGATTCCTCAACCACACTAGTTCACATGTTGTGCGTGCCATGGCTCTATATTCAGCTTCTGCACTGCTTCTTGCCACCACAGTTTGCTTCTTGCTCTTCCATGTCACCAAATTGCCCCCAAGAAAGGTGCAATACCCTATAGTAGATCTCTTGCTAGATATTGAACCGGCCCCAATCAACATCTATGTATCCTTCTAACTCAAGACTTCCTCCACTCTTACATAACATGCCACAACTTGGAGCTCCTTTCAAGTAACTTACTATTCTTAAAACTGCATTCCAATGTGGAACCCGAGGGCTCTGCATAAACTGACTCATCACACTAATTGCAAATGAGATATCTGGCTGAGTAATGGTTAGGTAGTTCAACTTACCCACCAACCTCCCGCACCTTCCAGGGTCTTCAAACTCCTCACCTACATCACTACTCAACTTGACATTTGGTTCCATGGGTATTTCGGTTGGTTTAGCACCCAAAAATCTTGTCTCCTCCAATAGATCAGGGACATAATTCCTATGACAAGATTAATACCATGCTTAGACCTTGCTAACTCTATCCTCAAGATATACCTTAATTTACCAAGATCCTTTGTTTGAAAGTGCTCATGCAGAAAGGTCTTCTACCTATCAATCCCTACCTGTCATTGTCGATAATAACAATGTCATTTACATATACCACAAATAAAATCTTCCTAGCACTCGAATCATAGTTAAATACTGAATGATCAACCTGACACTGTTTCATGCCAAATTTTTTTACCATTTCATTGAGTCTACCAAGTCATGCATAGGGGGACTATTTAAGTCCATAAATGGCCTTCTTGAGTCTTTAAACCTTACCATCCTCCCCTTGAGCAACAAACCTTGGTGGTTGCTCCATATAGACCTCCTCAAGAAGGTCACCATGTAAAAAGGCATTCTTGATGTCAAGGTAAAACAAACGCCAATCATACATAGCAGCTAAAGAGATCAAAACATGATTTAGATCAATCTTAACAACATGAGAGAAAGTCTATGTAGTCAAAGCCATACAATTGGGAATAATCTTTTGCAATCGATCGAGCTTTCAACCGCTCTACACTACCATCGGGTAAAGACTTGATAGTGTATATCCACTTACAACCTGGAGAGTCATGAAGGAGAATGGTGAGATCCCATGTATGATTGTGAGTCAAAGTTGGAAGTTCTTCTTCCATTGCATGGTGCCACCCTAGAGAGGCAAGAGCTTTCTGGACATCCTTAGGAACATAAACAAACTATTCATAGGAGGTAGAAAGGTGAGATAAAGAAACATAATTATAAATGATGAGTGCAACTACGTTTACCTTTCCACAAGGCAATGGGAAGATCATGGTTAGAGATAGGGGGCAAGGCTGGTGTGGGAACAACTGCTGAATTTGTTGAAGGTGAAGAAGTTGGAGGAGCCAGTACATGTTGATGTGTATACACTTTCCGGATGGATGGTCATTCAAAAAGGGAGCTGCACTGGAGGCAAAGACTTGGTCACAACTGGAACAAGAGGAATGGGGTACTCATCTGGAACTGGAAGTGGGGGTGAAGGAGAACGTCGGGAACGGGGTCATAACACTTACACCCTTTTTGAATCCTAGAATAGCCAAGAAAGATACACTTAGTGGATTGTGCATCTAATTTGTCCATTCTAGGTCCAAGATTATGGACAAAACACATACCCAAAAACCCTGGGAGCAAGAGGAAAAGAAGACAAGGTAGGAAAGAAAACAGAGAAGGGAGAATAACCTTCAAGAATAGACAGGGGCATCTAATTAATAAGGAAGCAAGATGTAAGCACAACATCACTCCAAAAACGTTTGGGTAACCACACTCTTAACATATGGTAAAATTGGATAACTATAATTGTACAATTGAAGTAAAGCTATTTATGAGTTATGGGGAAAGTTGTTTTATACTTTCGTTCTTTTTGTATGGATTTTTGTTTATTTTAATTAAATATTGGTCATTTTCATTATTTATTTTTGCTTCTCATATCTTATACCTACACTATAAAACACTATAAAACAAATTCTGAATGATTTTTTTCAAACCATTTTCTTAAAATACTTTATAGTCCTCAAACACTTCTTTATTAATTAAAATGCACATAAAATCTTTTTCTAGAACCCATTACCAAATTTCTATTCAACCTTAAACATTGCATGAATTGAGTTGCTAGTTCTAGATTATTGGGCATAGATATATCAAAAGAGGTTCTTCTTGACTTAATTGCTTTGAAGCTTGAAGGACTAGTCCTCGGCCACACAAAATAATCACAATGCAGATACACACCATCCATTTAATAGACCTCTACATCAGCCACATGTAAAGTATACTTGTACACCTTACCCTCTTCCACCATGTTCACTTGTCCAGTAGACCTTAATTCCTGATTTTTTGAAAACAAAGTAAACCTCTTTTCCATGTAGACTGCTGTAAGGACGGAAATGTCCACATGGAAAGAGGTTAATTAATATTTTATGTAATATATTTTAATAAATAATAGGATTAACCTATGATATACCAAGTATTTAGTTGTAAATCACGCCTGCAATAATCTGAATTAAAAGAAAAGAAATAGGAGAAAAGAAGGAGATTGAAGAGACAGAAGTGGAGGAAGAAGATGGAAGAAAAGGAAGAAGAGAGAGTTGTTAAAAAAACTCTTCAGCCCCCAATGATCTCTTTTATTCTTTTGTTGTAAAATAATAAGGACAATTACATGACTGCCCTTAGTAGGGCGTCTATCACTAAAGACAACAATAAAAAACAAGAAAACATGCCTATAACTAAGGCCCACTGCCTAATAACACATCATAAACATAACTTAAAGAAAAACAAAGAAACTAAGGCTTATTCGACCCATTATCTCTACACTCCCCCTCAAGCTAAGCATAGATATTAATCATGCCTAACTTGCTTACACAATGTTGTAACTTTGCCTTGGGGACACCCTTGGTTAGAACATTTTCTAATTGTAGCTTTGAGGCAAGAAAAGGAAGGAAAACTTCCCCGGAAGCTACCCTTTCACTTATAAAATGCCAATCAACTTCAATATGTTTTGTTTTGTCATGCTGAATTGGGTTGTGAGCTATGTTGATCGCAACCTGATTATCACAGTAAAGCATTAAGGGCTTATCATGTGTAATACCCATCTCCTCTAGAAGTGACTTGAGTCATAAGAACTCTGAAACTCCATGTGCCATTGCCCTGTACTCTACCTCAGCCGAAGACCTTGGCTATTACTGACTATTTCTTACTCTTCTAAAATGCCGATCAACTTCAATATATTTTGTTCTTTCATGCTGAACTGGGTTGTAAGCTATGTTGATCGCAGCTTGATTATCACAGTAAAGCATTAAGGGCTTATCATGTGTAATATCCATCTCCTCTAGAAGTGACCTGAGCCATGACAACTCTGAAACTCCATGTGCCGTTGCCCTATACTCTGCCTCAACCAAAGACCCTGGCTATTACTGACTATTTCTTACTCTTCTAGGAGACAATGTTCCCTGCAACCAAGGCACAGTAACCCGATGTAGATCTCCTATCATCAATAGTACCAGCCCAATTGACATTTGTGTAAGCCTCTAGCTTCATGTATCCACGCCTAGAGAAGAGGATACCCTTTCTTGGAGTTCCCTTCAAGTAACACAAAACTCGTTTTGCGGCAGCCATATGTGTCTCTAGGGGCATGCATAAACTAACTGATCACACTAACAGCATATTAGATATTTGAACATATCATGCAGAGGTATAGCAACTTCCCCAAAAGTCTTTGGAACACTCCTCTGTCTGCCAAAAGCTCACCATCATCAGTTGAGAGTTTATGGTTAGCATCAATAGGTGTAGAAACAGGTTTGGCACCAAATTTTGTAGTCTCCGTGAGAAGATCTAACACATACTTCCATTGGGAGATGAAGATGTCATCTTTAGACCTAGCAATTTCGATTCACAGGAAATATCTCAATTCCCCTAAATCCTTAATTTCAAATTCTGAGTTAAGGAATGTCTTGAGTGATTGAACTTCCTCTGTATCACTCCCTATAATGACAATATCATGAACATAAACAATGAGGAAGGTAACCTGAGTGCCTCTCCTCTTCACAAATAAGGCATGATCGAACTGTGTCTATGTATAGCTAAACTCAACAAGTGAAGCTTTGAACCTATCAAACCAAGCTCATGGGGATTGCATTAAGCCATAAAGAAATTTGTTCAACTTTTAGACCTTGCCCTGCATTTCCTTACCATACATACCCGGTGGAAGTGACATATAAACCTCTTCAGTTAAGTCTCCATTTTAAAAAGCATTCTTCACATCAAACTGATATAAGGGCCAGTCATAACTCACTGCCAAGGATGACAGAACTTTCACTGTGGTCATTTTTGCATATGGTGAGAAAGACTCTATATAATCAACTTCATATACCTGGGTATAACCCTTGGCTACTAGCCGAGCCTTATAGCTCTCAATGGTGCCATCAACATGATACTTGATAGTGAACACCCACTTACATCCTACCGGTTCCTTTCCATGAGGCAAATCCACAATATCCCAAACATGATTTTTACGAAGTGCTTCTATTTCAATTTTCATAGCCTCCCTCCATTCTAGCTTAGACAAGGCCTCTATAATTGACTTGGGTATAGGCTGGGAAGAAATGGAGGCTAAAAAAATAATAAGATGGGGATAACAAGCTATAAGATAGGTGTTACAATGTGTTGTACATTTCTTCTTACCTTTTCTCATAGCAATAGGTAGGCCCAAGTTTGGGAAGGGAGGTTTTGGAGCAGGTGGTGAAGGACTTGTCCTCTCTTTAAGGGTTGAGAGTGTCTGAGGCTCAAATATAAATGGGGGAATAACCTAATCATGCTATAGCCTTTATCTCTGGTACCGCCTTTGAACAATAGGATGATTATGAAAATTAGAGGATTAGTAGGAGTAGTAGGAATGGTAGAATTGGGAGACGAAGGCTTTACCACTAGAACAGAAGGAACCATAGGAGACTCAACCTTGGGATCAACAAGAGAAGGCAAAGGAAGTGGTTAAGAAAACAGTTCAACGGAATGCTCCCCCTCAGTGTGGAGGCATAACCTAAAAAAGTGCACTTCCGAGCCTTGGATTCAAACTTATGTCTAAGAGCTAGGGACATGAACATAACATGTGCACCCAAAGACACACAAGGGAATAGGAAACAATTCACTCTCAGGAAACATGACAACAAAGGGAGATTTGAATCCTAAGACTCGAAAAGGCATGCGATTAATAAGGTAGGTAGCTGCCGTCACTACATTACCCTAAAATCTCACTGGAACATGGGAGGCAAAAAGGATGCTCCTGGCTACTTCAACAACATGTCGATTCTTTCTCTCTGCTACCCCATTTTGTTCTGGAATACGAGGACAAGAACTTTGATGTATAACCTCAAACTTCTCATAGTATGAAACAAGATCTTTCTCAAAATATTCCTTAACATTATTTGATCGGAACATCTTGATGCGGGTATCAAATTGGGTAAGCACAAATTCATGAAACCGTTTTACAAGTTTGGGTACTTCAGCATGGGAACACATAAGATAAAGCCAGTGTAACAAGAAAAATCATCAATAAACAGAACAAAATATTTATAACCACCCATGCATGGTAAATGGAATGGCCCCCACACGTCGGAGTGAACAATATGTAAAGGAACTGTAGATCTTTTATTACTTGTAGAATAAGAGTTTCTACAATGCTTTGACAACTCACATGACTCACAAACGATAATGACATAACATAATACAACTAATTGACTCTGACACATTTGAACCAAAAGTTGCTCTTGGAGATGATACTTGACTTTGTCTAGGCATGTCTAGCACGTATATTCCATTTACCTCATGGCCACTCCCAATCACCTTCTGAGAGTCCATGTCTTGAAAACATAGTAAAAAGGGAAAAAGGTCATACTGCAATTCAAAGATTTTGTCAAATTACTAACTGAAAGCAAATTAGTGTTTAATTTAGGAACATGGAGAACTGAGGATAAGGTGAGGGTGACCAAATCTTTGATGTTTCCCATGCTAGAGATAGGAGCAAAAGAGCCATCAACAAGGGTGATCTCATCTTGGCTAGATAAAAGCTGGTAAGTAGAAAATAAATGGGACACACTAGTCATGTGGTCAGAGGCACCATAATCAATTATCCAAGGGATCCTACGATTACCTGAGATAGAAGCATGATTTGCAATAGCACAAATACTTGAATGGGCATATGCGGATAAAGAGGGAACTGTCTCTGATGAAGTAGGTGCTGTAGCAATAGAATTTAGGCGACAAATTATTCGGCCATACTTCTTATACTCAGCCCTGGTGGCTGCTAGTTGCTCTCCCATTGACTTCTCACCATTATGCCACTGTTCACTCTGTGAGGAGGTGATTACATTTGCATTTCCACTTTTCACATTCTCATTCCTTTTTCCATTCACTGCATTCTTGAGTTTGGCGGGTATAAGCTCTGGATGCAACTTCAAACAGGTGTCTTTAGTATGTTTAGACTTTTTGATTTGTAAGCCCGGGCAACATTCAATTTTTGGGAATAGGTCTCCGTGACATTATCCCACACCTCCTTTGTAGTTTCCATCCACAAGAAGTGCTAACTAATATGTGGTTGCATAGAATTCACTAACCAAACCACTTCTTGCTCCTGGTGATATAACCCCATTTCCCTCTACTACACACATGTATCTTAATTGACTGAGACTAGACTAAATAATTGGTCCCATCTAGCTTCACAGTGGTCAGTGCCCCAAAAAGATTCTCCATTGAGCCCCCATGTCCAAACCCGGAATCTGTGGAATATTTGGTTTCTCCTCTAATTTGTTCTGTTGAGTGAAATTAAGATCAAAATAAGTTTCAACTAAGATAGAATTGCTATCCCAAGCAAAAAACTACTCTTCAAACAACCAAATCTAGAGTTTCATAGGACCCGCCCAAAGGGGAGAAGAGAAAGTTCAACTGCTCCTACCAGAGGTTCCAGAACCTTGTCCAACTCAAATCGCCCTTACTGAAAATCAAAAGGCTGTCCTCTAATCTCCAAGCACTAGCTTCAAAGTGTCTTTACGACCTATAACTAGTTTTCTCCAGTTGTCTATGGTTTTTAGGAAAAAAACTCCAAGAACCTGCCTTGGACTTCAACTCGGGATGAAAAACTTCACAAAACCTCTCCAAAGACCCTCCCAAATAGGCTACATAAGCTGTTCCCTAATCAGCTGATCAATTCTCCATATACATTGTGTATGGGCAAAGAGAGAAGAAAGAAAAGAAGGTGAGAACCTGCTCTGATACTAAGTTGTAAATTACACTTGCAATAACCTGAATTAAAAGAAAAGAAACAAGAGAAAAGGAAGAAGAAGATAGAGTTGTTCTAAAAACTCTCTTCAGCCCCCAATGATCTTTTTTATTCTTTTGTTGTAAAAAAATTAAGACAATTACATGAGTGCCCTTAGTAGGGCGTCCATCACTAAAGACAGAAATAAAAAAACAATAAAGAACAAGAAAACAGACCCATAACTAAGACCCACTACCCACTAACACAAGTCATAAACATAACTTAAAGAAAAAGAAAGAAACTAATGCCCATTTGGCCCATTATCTCTACATATTTCCATTATACACACCTACATTTTACAGGAATCAACATAAAAATAATGAAAAGAGACAAGATGCAACATATCACCTGGGTGAAATTAATCTGAGCAAGCAACCCAGCCAAATCTCCTTGATCCAATCCAACATTCCTAACATTCCCAATAAAACATGACCGGAAGTCCAGTGCACATTGCAAAATGCTCTCGATGATGCTAGCTACAGGTCGTGTTTCATCGGACAAGAAACATCTATAAGTGTAACATTGAATTAGAAACATAGAGAACCCAAAAGATATTCTTCATAAAAAGTGCATGGAATAAAAGGTAAAAGGCCATATAAAACTATGCTAATTTAAACTCAATGAACTTGACAAAAACCAGGTTAAAATCAATTATACAAAATTAAATTCCCAAGAAATCCTTTAACAAATTTTTTTCTTTGGGAAATTCAGTCCTTCAGAAATTGGAGGAGCTTATGAAGACCAAAGAGGATATCATCATGGTGTGTTCTAGGAATATTGGGCACAAAAGCTCTATTGTACAGAGACACTCTCCTATTATAAGGGTTTAGGCATTCTATTCTCTCTGGGAATTGATAGAGTGGTGATTGAGTTCGATGGTGGTTATTGGCTGGAAGCAGAGTCATTACAGTGTAGCTTGTGACATGGTTTCAAACATGAAGAGCTTGTTCAGTTGGATTCTGTGATTGACTAACACACTAATTGATTGTTTATCCTGGAATGGGTTGGAGCATCTGAATTGCAATGTGAATTTCTGTCACAGGCTAGATCTCATATGTTAGTTTGTTTCATGTTTTTTAAGTTTCCACTCTTCTGATAGAGTGGAATAAATCAAGATTCTTATGGCCAACCACATATAGTTAGGAAAAGCCTTGGTTGTCTACAGTAGAAAATGTCAAAAAAACAACTCCAGTAGAAAATCATGTTTTTCTTTTTGATAGTAAATAAAACTTCATTAGAAAATCAGAAAGGTATACAAGGAGTATACAAGAAGAAAAAGAAGACTCCAAGCAAGGATACATTAAAAGGAACCATCCTGCACACATCTATCAGCAAAATCACTACAATACCCAATATTTAGATATGAAAAATATGTCAGAAGCAGACTTCCTCCCTCCTTGCATGTTATATAGATCAATAACAGAAAAGATTTCATTAAACAAGAAGATAATTACAGTGAAACACGGGTTGCATGTAACTCTTATAATTCTGTAATTAGCTTTAAAGGAAAGGTCGCATCTCGTGCCTTTCCACGGGTTGCATGTAACTCTTATTTGCTGGTTTAATAAAATTTCACTCATTTATCAAAAAAAAAAAAAATTACAGTGAAACACCACAGAAAGAGAAGATGGCTGTTTCATATCCTCAGCTAACTTCCTTTCAGATCTTTACATTTCTCACTGCTGCCTCCGATGTCTTCTACCACACACTGGAGCAGGCTCTACCATATCCGAACTAACTCATTAATCTCTTCATTCATTTCCTGCAAATTATAAAACCTGGATACCTGTACAAGGCTGCCATACTATGTTGGATATTTCAAATTTTAACATTCTATATCTTGTCTTGTCCATCTGTGTCCTTGCTGTATCTAGATAACATAGCATCCAAATTGTCTTAATTGAACCAAGCAACAGCCTTATGGTTCTCTGCCACTATTGATGGAAAGACAGACTTTTCACTCTTCCAAACAGTAAAATGTAGCCTCTGCAAAATCTTCTGTTATAGCACATTTTTTTGTCACTTGGACCTCATATCCAACAGTCTGATTAATATGGAAGGATCCATCCAGTTGATGGACCTTATCATCCTCACCCTCCTTTTCTGCTATTCCCCCTCCCTCCAGCCTAGTATCATAAGGACCATCTCATCCTGGACCTCCTCTTCCCTTACCTCATATCTATTACCAGCCCAGTTTCCTCAATTAGAAAATGAAGTCAATTTTGTATTTCATTTCAAAGTTTCTCATGTTTTCCACTATATATCTGAATTCTTTTACCAAGAAAATGAAAGACCTGTTAATCATGAACACATTTCCAACAGTCGATCAAGATAATGACAGATTAATAAAGAGAAGAAATGTTATCCATCCATCCCATAGACAACCAAAAGGTTTAAAATTTCGCAACATATCGGCCTATGGTTTTGTCCCAATTAATAATTGGTTTAGGACTGGTAACCCTGTTCCAAACCAGACCTGACCCATTGACAGCCCTACAAATACCTATAAATACTTTCCCATTATGTATATTTGGTTTATTAGAAGTTGTGAGAATTGAATATTGATGTACTTCTGTAATACTTATTAATTGTTTAGTTAATTTGGTTATATTTAGATAAATATTGTTGAAATGTAATTGTAGATCTTTGTTTTGTTGGTTATGAAATATTAGTTAGCTCTTTCTTTAATTTAGGGAAATGAGATATTTTTTTTTCTTTGCATGAAAATTACAATAAAAACCAAAAAACCAATCAACTGAACCGGTTGGCCAGTTAACTAGTTAAGTTGGTCTGGCTTTGATTTGGATATCTTCCTAATCGAAAGTTTTGGTTTGGTTAGGGAAATATGCTCATAGTTTGCTTTGGTTGCTTCTTTCCCCACCGTCTTTCAAGTGACCAAAAAAATAAAATAAAATAAAAGGCAGACATCTATTGGCCTCCTTCCTGCACATCTGCACCATATGAACCTAACTCAAAGAAGAAAGCCTCCTTCATAACAGTTCTGATTTAAGCATACCTTTGTTGAAGCAATAATTTGACATAAACTTAGATTCTTGTTGCTGGAAATAGACATCGCAAGAAGCAAAAAAAAAAAGCCAATAAAAAAGAGTCCACAGGATGTTTGATTTATTTATAGCAGACACCATGGACCTTCAAGTAACTGCAGTGGAGAAGAAGATGTATTGCAGACCTCAAGAAAATTCTATGTATCGATTATACAGTCTTTTAACTTACATGTTTAGTGAACTTGCAAGATATGTCATATGCACCACCTCTAAATCCAGCATATCCTTGACCTGTTGAACAAAATTCTTGTCATGAATAATGAGAGAAAAGATATACAAGGAGAAGATAGTTTTGGCTAACAATATCACATGGAAAGTTGTGATATTTCAAGAAAACCTAGATTTGATATTATATTCAATTCCCTGACTATATATTTTCTTCATACAAACTCAATATTCCAATAACCCCACCCCCGCTCCTGCGCGTGCATGCACATGTGCCCCCTCAAGCTGGCACCAGATTACTTGCTTAGAAAGTAAAAAAATGTAATCTTGGCAGCAATACTTCAAAGATTTTATCTAGCAAGGCAACTTGAAGATTCCCACACAAGGTGACAACTAACTCTTACACCATGTCACAGGGATGCCATCAACATGATTCATGGTGGCACCTGTTTCTTGTCGATGGAAAGAGAATTCTTCAACTGATTAGATGGTACCATGGAGGCCCATGGCTCTTGCCCAAGAAACTGGATATAGGAAGAACTCACTCCAGAGACCCTAGCATTTCTAAATAGAACCAAACCCAACTCTAAGGCTCAGTTTGTTTGCAGCGCAATATCATTTGCACTAGCACAAATGCATGGGAGTGCAACAAAGAAAAATATAAGTTCTGATTTGCTTTTGCTTTTGAGTTTTATTTTAATTTGCTTCAGGTTTTATTTTACCATAGCAAAAACTAAAATAAAAATAAAAAAGAACTTACACTGAAATCATTTGTACTCCCATACTTTTGCACCCATGCAAATGAAATTGCACTAAAAATAAAGAAGGCCTAAAAATCAACACTAGAGGACAACTCAATCTACACATAGGGTATATGAGATCTCCCCTACAAAGGCGGGAAAAAACTGGAGAAAGAGGGGGCACTCACTCGAGAGACCTAGCACTCCTAAACACTAAAATTGCCCACTGTATTATGATCCATGCAGATTAAGAATACCCATGCGCCACGAAAGAATCTTCACGGATCAGTGGTGGTGCCTGCTATACCCTATTATGTTATTAAAATAAATACTTACAAGCAGATCCCTGAAACAAAAGAGATTGCAGGAAACCCCCTGCATCAATGACACCTTACCAAAACACCCCTCACAACAACTACTAAGCTACACAAAACAACTATGTGGGATCCTACTATAAAAATAATAAATTCAGAACATATTTACATCATTTTCATCTTCTTTCTTTTTTCTTTTTATTCTCCGTTCCTCTCTTTTTTTGGGCCCATCACATTGGCATTTTTTCTAGTATGTGTGGATGACATTCCTATTACAAAAAATGATCTACAAGGTATCCAAAAACTGGAGCTTCTTCTAAGTCAATCCTTTAAGTTGAAGGAATTAGGCCTTTGGCTTACTTTCGTGTGCAGGAGGTACATTCCTCTCCTTGTGGATACATAATGAATTGACAGAAGTATACTAAAGATATAAAACTAGCAAATTTATCTAATGATAAGTAGGTTGATATAGTTGACAGCTCAACAAGATAATCCAAAAGTGATGGTGCTCACCTTGTTGATTGTACTTGGTATTGAAGATGATAGAACCAATACAATCCAATCTGAAATGAGCATCTTCGAGGCAGTTCTTCCTCCCGAGAAAGGTACTTACAGTAGAAGTAGATAAGATAGAAGAACTGTGGATTTTCTTATTTCTCTTCATCTCGTGTAGGTAAATTTATAGCTCTCTACAATGGGCATCTTACACCAGGCACATGCACATGAACATGGTCCCCTGATATAGACAAACCTGATAGGAGTTATGTGAGATACTCTCAGGTTGCTGCTTGGGTGGAGGGGATCCAGGTCTGCTGGGCTGTGGTTCTGGGTCTGAGATTTGTTTGAAATCCTGGTCATTTAGGTCGCAATGGAGCAACCCAACCATTGAGCCAAGGCCCACCCTCACCTCCGCTTTGTCATCCCACTCAAATGAATTTCATTTGAGTAATTGGGCCAAGGGAGTTGCTAACACACTATACCCATTAACGAATTGGTGGTAATAGTTGGTGAGCCCCAAAAATCCCCGTAAGGCCTTCTAATTAGTCAGCAAAGCCTAGTTAGTCATGCTCTCCACCTTCTCTGGGTCTATGTACACCTTCCACCAAATATACATCCCAAGTGCAGGAAGTGTGTCTGCGCAAATAAACATTTGGTGGGCTTAGAGAAGTATAGGACAAGTGATGTTGCCTCAGCAAAGCCATAGTGCTACACAGGTGTTCCATATGAGATTGCCATGTGGGACTATAGACCAAAATATCATTAAAGAAAACCAATATAAAGTAGTGCAAAAATGGCCTAAAGATGTCATTCATAAGCCTCTGGAAAGAGTCAACACTTATGATCTCCTTCAGAGAGAGGCCTAATAGTTATTTATCTCCTTACTGGCGTGTTCTTTGCAGGGCTAAGGCTGAGACTGGTTACCATTTACTGATTTTCTGTTCTTTTTCTAATCACATTTGGGAATGGTGTTTATCTCTGTTTGGGTGTGGATGGTTACCTTCACCAGATGTACAAAGTCGTTTTGCCCCCTCTATGTGTCAAGACTGCTGGAACAGACCAACAGAAGGCAGTTAATCAGTTTTACAAGAGGAACAGAAGGCAGTTAATCAGTTTTACAAGAGGCCACATCAGCACAATTAACCATCCACTTGTAACAACTGTAACAATCAAGATTGTAAAACTATAAGTAGTAGAGCAGAAAAGGAATAAGGGATGGACTCTTTCAGCATTAAACTCTCTCTCTCTCTCTCTCTCTCTTTCCAAGAATTCAGGAGGTTGGCCCCTTGAAGAGCCCTGAGTTAGGCAGGTTCCTAACAATTTGGTATCAGAGCCAGCATGACCAACACAAGAAACACGTCAGTAGACACCCGAATGGATCAGATGGAGGTAGAGATCCATCGAATGTCTTCAGATCTCAAAGAAATGAAGGAAGGCTTCACTGCTCTCCTCGTTCGACTGGAGCAGGGGGCAACGAACACTGATAGAGGAAGCCAAGAAGAGCACAGCAATGAAAACAGCCGCAGAACAGGAGCGGCAACAAGAATAGCCAAAATCGACTTCCCCATCTTCTCAGGCGGCGACCCAACTCCCTGGATTCTCAGAGCCGAAAAGTATTTCGATTACCATGAAACACCAGGGCAAGATAGGGTAGCTCTGGCTTCTGCGCATCTTGAAGGGGAAGCTATCCTCTGGTTTCAATGGTACAGAAGGGGGCACCCTCATCAAACCTGGGCAGACTTCACGGACGCCATGACTGTCCGTTTTGGATCATCTGGGTTCGAAGATCTTGATGAAAATTTGGCAAAGTTGCGGTAGGTGGGATCAGTAAAAGAATACCAGATGGAGTTCGAAAGGCTAGCCATGAGAGTCCAAGGGTGGACGGAGAAGGCATTGGTGGGAAGCTTCGTCGGTGGCCTAAAAGAAGAACTACGACTGGAAGTGAAAGCGATGCAGCCCACTTCGGTCATCAATGCGGCAGCACTAGCAAGATTGTACGAGGACAAGTTCAGTCGAGCAAGAAAGGTGCAGCGACCATGGGGTCCAGAAGCAAGAAGGGAGCAAGAAAGGACGACAGCACCAGACAAGGAGGAAGGAGTACTRGGCCCAGGCCMACTGGTTCCTTTCAAACGGCTGACCTGGGCAGAGATGCAAGCCCGCAGAGACAAAGGTCTCTGTTACAACTGCGAAAAGAAATTTGAGTCGGGCCATCGCTGCAGGAAACAACAAGCGTTTCTCCTCCAAACAGATGCCGAAGAGGAAGACAACATCACCGGTTGCGGAGAATCTAACCCAGGGTGGGAAATACAATCCAATGGCACGCCTGAAATATCCTTACAAGCCCTTACGGGACTTGCGTCCCCTCAAACAATGAGAGTTGCAGGGCTGATTCTAGGAYGCCAAGTGTCAATCCTCATAGACAGTGGCAGCTCCATTAACTTCATAACTCAAGTCTTGGTGGATAAAATGGGATTTACGGTTCAACCAACAATGGCCTTTATGGTCCATGTGGCCAACGATAACAGCCTATCTTGCAATAGCATTTGCATGGGCCTACCACTAAAGATTCGGGGTCATCAGTTTGCGGTGGACCTATATCCTCTCCATCTCAGTGGAGCAGATGTGGTGCTAGGCATTCAATGGTTAAGACAGCTAGGACCCGTGGTCTGTGACTGGGCCCGTTTCACCATGGACTTCACATCAGGAAACTCTATAGTCCATCTACAAGGGCAAACATGCAAGGGCCCAAGGCCCATCAGTCTTGCAACACTAACAAAGCAAAGAGGAGATCCAGATCAGCCCATATTCATGCACATGGACTCAAATTTTCCTACTTAGATCTGCAATCAAAATTTCCTACATTAGACCTTGAGGGCAAGGTCGCTCTAAAGGAAGGGGGGATTGTCAAGACTGCTGGAACAGACCAACAGAAGGCAGTTAATCAGTTTTACAAGAGGAACAAAAAGCAGTTAATCAGTTTTACAAGAGGAGGGCACATCAGCACAACTAACCATCCACTTGTAACAACTGCCATCCACTTGTAACAACTGTAACAATCAAGATTGTAAAACTATTAGTAGAGCAGAAAAGGAATAAGGGATGGACTCTTTCAGCATTAAACTCTCTCTCTCTCTCTCTCTCTCTCTCTTTCCAAGAATTCAGGAGGTTGGCCCCTCGAAGAGCCCTGAGTTAGGCAGGTTCCTAACACTATGTTCAGCTGGTCAAAAAAAAGAGGAAAAGTCATGTGGAGATGCATTAGGGGTGCTACATGTTGGACTATTTGGAAAGAAAGGAAAGGGAAACTGGAAGGTGATTCAAATTAGAGTGGTGCAATGGCCGAAGTCTTTGGATCTGTTTAAAGATTTCTCAGCAGCTGATCTGTTTAGAAACTGGAAGGAAATTGCAAGTTTAGCTCCAGCTGTAGACATTTCTCTACCTAATTGGACTCCTCCCAATGATTTTTTTCAAATTAAATTTTGATGGAAGCAGTATGGGTAATCCAGGCCTGTCAGGG